AGTTACTTAAAAAATGGAACGTGACGTATTTATGAAAAGAAGATTCTGATCAAATTTTCTTTGGTACCAGCATAGGAGAATCAATGAACCATGAGTGTCTTTTAAAAACCCTCCTGGGAGTCCTGCTTCCTGGCAGACTGCAGAAGAATCCGTTTTGCATGCAGATATTTGAAACATTACAACAAACATCAGAAACAGAAAAGGATTTATTAGAAATATTACACAGATTTTTGCATCATACATTTTAATAATGTTAATCTTTAAATATTAGCATGTCCAAATCTGGCAATGCCTACTATATACATTCCAATGTGCTCTTTGTATAAATTAGATTACGATGTAACATCTGTACCCAATAGAGAAAGCTAAAAGTACTTCACTGTTAGAGGTGATTATCTCATATGACAAACTCCAGCTGGACCAACAATCAATAAAAACATTGTGTCCAGCACTGCCCAGTGGAACTTGGCACACGTGCAAGTCAAAAATGTAGAGACCATCAGTTGAGAAAAATGTTAGCTGCAGTTCAGTTATAAGCTTGATTCTACACCATACTTGGTGAGTCTAAATGGCACTGGAGTTGGTAAAAACCGATATAGTCTAGCACAGTAGAAGTTATTGCTGGGTTTAAAAAATGTCTTAATGCTCAGTGCCCTGAGTCTTTTTAGGCAAAAGCCCTCTTCTGACAGGAAAACGCATAATCTCATCCCATAGACTCTGCCGTTTATCAGACACAGAGGGCACAGCTGCTTTACAAACAGCCGGCCCCGTCCGACACTTCCCGCTGGAAGACCCGGTACCATAAGCACAGAAAGATGAGGAAGATACCGAAAAACTAATGAACCAATGCTTGTATTTGCATTGCCAAGGAAGGGGCAAAGCCAGTGAAGTAAAAAGGTAGATTTTTGAAGAGTTCCAGGTCAGGAATCAAACAGGGAAGAACCAATCATTCTGCCAGCGTGCACTTGGTCGGTTTGGACAGAAAACTTGCACATAATTGGCTGCACATACAAAACAAGAAAACCTGTAAAAACCAACTTCAAATTACAAAAAAAAGATCTACCAAAACTCAAAGAGAATGTGTCTCACTGATAGGAAACTGGAGAACGTGCGTAAGTCAAAAATCACTCTGCTCAGCACGGCTGCCTTGCTGCAGCACAGGAAGAACCGGGAAATCTTTGTCCCCTTTGCGTTTCCTCGACTGTCACAGGCTCAGGAAGGGGAACCTTGCGAGGGCAGCAAGCTCTGTGCTCTCTTCCCTCCTCATCTTCCGAGATCCACCCCGGGCTGCACTCTTAGGAGAAATGTCACTCAAGATGACAGTCAGTGAGGCCTCTCAAGCTGATGTCCTTTGCTGTCCACAAAGGCCCAGGCATGTATATCCCATGTATGTCCCTCTCCTCACACGCTGGACTTTCACTCCGCTCAGTTTCACTGCGTACCTTCAGAAACAGCTCATCGGCCTTTCTAGACAACTTTCTTAGAGGGCTGACTCTGGGCTCGCTTCTCAACACCCCTGCACCTTTCCAAGCCACGAGACAATCCGTACTTTCTAGGACTCACCAGAAATTCTGGGAGTCCGATTTTATACTTTTCATGCTTTAATCTCCTTTCCTCTCTAACAGCTATAGTACAGCAGCCACACGATGCGATACACCTCCATGGAACCTCACTGAAATCGCCATCCTAACCATTCTTCTCACGTGCTTATCCAAAATCAGCTATTTGGTTTCTTGTAGTCCAACAGACTACCCCAGTACACACATACAAGCATGTGCAGGTATGTTTAAGAGTGACTGTATATATTTAGGGAGAGTATGGTGACATGGTGAAGAGATTTCATCTGCCTGCATCAGGGAAAGATCCATTACTCCTAAGAGGCAAAGCCAGAAAGGATTTAGGCAGTTTAGGCAAACTGTTACTGATACAACACATTACACCATCCATGTCGTGTCATCACATATTCCATTCTAGGACATTTTCAGAGGATTCTCATAACTTCTATGAAGACTATCCTATACCCGCTAGCTTAACTTAATTAACAGACTCTAATTTTAAAGGCAGGTAGAACTTTAATTTTGCTGTTGAAATTTGAGATGTCTTACAATGGCCTGTAGATTTCTGAAAATCAGGCTGGTCTGTAGCATCTTGCGTGGGACAAATTTAAATTCATATTCAAATTTTAATGCAGTGTGAAAAAACAACAGTAATTTCTGAAAATCCAGGTCTAGAAATGTAACTGTTCAAGGCTCAAAAGGAAGAAAAAATACACAATATTGTAACAGTTAAAAGAACAAAACCCCAATATTCTTAGTCTCAAAAAAATAACCTGGAAGAGCACCTCTCAATCTCAAAGTATCAGCATTTTAAAATGAGACATTTTGCAGGTTTGAGGACTGAAAAGTAACATTGAAGAAACAGCAAAACTGAGTATCTGCTTCCCTACTGACAGACAGCTCCTTGTTCTAACTCCTGGATAAGTAAAAGATTTTAAAGAATATACCATTAGAATTGGGTAGAATTAGTGTTTGGTCTACGCTACCGGGGGGCATGGGAGAATAAGCGGCAAAGATATGACAGAAACATTGCTTTGCAAAAATCATTTGGGGGAAAAAAAAAAAAAAGCTGCTGGCTCAAACAGAATGATTTGTAAGGTTACAGTAAGTCTTGGAGAAACAGATTAGAATAAGTGTCAGACCAGCGCTTGAAGCAAGTGATACCGACATATTAGATAATATAGATACTTAGTGTACATCTGACAGTCCCATGGAACACACACTTCCAGTGACCAGAGGGTTAAGATTATCTTTCTTTTTTAGATCAAGTGGAGTCCTCTGACTTTGAAATGTTTACCAGACACTGGAAACTGAAACAGTTTTTCTCATCCCTGCAAGTGCCCAATCCAAAACCCACTGAGGAATATGGAATTTTTTGTGTTGACTTCACTACACTTTGAACTGCGGCCTGTTGGAGGGAATTGGGACCTCTGCCAACGGATACCTCAGGGGAAAAGAGCCTGCTGCATCCACAAGGCAACAGAGCTCTGCAGTGCAACTGCCTTCCTAAACAAACTCTGCTAGCAGCTATTTTTCTTGTCCATCTTACAACATAACAGGAGACTTGTATCTGAGAACGCTTAGAGCAACTCATCCTATATTCTCTAGGGATGGCAGAGTGTATGCTGAAAAATACCAGAGAGTTAATTCAATCTAGAAAGCACTCTCTTGCAAAGAAATTACTCTGGCCAGAATTTACAACTGCTTTCTCACAGTATAAGATGACATAAAGAGTGCAAAGGCACTGTAAGTGCGTGCCACTGTCCTTTTTTATCACACAAACTCTCAAAAGATTGGAATCAGACTTTCCTGGGGGTGATGTATTAGAATAAATGTCAGACTGAAACTAAGAGCAAGTGATGCTTTTCTCCTCCTGCGAAATAGGCATACGCTGCATTCCTCCAACTTCCTTTCTGCTCAATATACTCAGACCTTGGCCACTGTCATCTGTCCCTTAATCCTGTATTTTGCTGTGAGAAAACCAAAGTTTGAAATAGGTTGTTTACTAATTAAGAAGTAGGAAAAAAAAACCCAAACCACAAAGCACTGTGGGGGAGCCAGAGACTGAGATCAGCCACCTGCAAAGCCCCAGAAAACCTGAAACGAAGATGCTTCTGCTTGTTTCTATTTCATGAGCCTTTTTTTTTTTTCCAGGAGTTAAGAGCAGCAAGCACGCACTATTATTTTTTGTAAGAGACAAATGATCCCTAGCTCCTATGATTAACATTCACAAAGCATCCAGTCTGGTCACAGGGTTAAACGTGCTAACTAGACAACAACGTTCTTCTACCAGCATAACCTAAAGCAGCTAGGCGGCCTTCTGCGAGGTCCTGTACAAAGCATGCTCTCCAAGACCTGCTCCTAGACCAAATTAAGCAGCCTGTTTGATCCTGCTGTCCTTGGAGACAAAATTTAACTTCATGAAGTGAAATAAGAGAAATGGCATAATGGAAATTAAACAGTGTCTTTCAGACATTTTACTAACAGTATCGTTGAGCTGGAAAGCTATTCTCTGGCGCCTTAGAGATTTCCATGACACAGAGAGGAGTTCCAATTACATCCTTTGTAACTTGTGGAGTGAAGTTGCAACTTCTGTTGGTACTAAGAGATCACTGTGTTCCTTCACAGGGTAACATCACTTCCAACCATGTAACAGTGCCCTGCGGAGTACAGTTTACTGGACGGGGCACAGGCTGTCTCAGGATTCATGCCTCTACACAGCAATTACATATCTGTGCTGATTATACAGGATCAACACAGCAGAAAGAAGTTGCTCCACTCAATCCACAAAAATATGAACTACTGAGATGTCACTGTATTGCTTAGAGAGTCATCACCCGATTACTGGCACCTTGCAAACTAAAGCAAGTAAATTGCATTTGCAATATTTCTATGATAACTGTGCCTGCACAGTCAGCAGGGAAACCGAGCTCTGGCTTCCCGTAGTAATCAAGTAACGAAGTTGTTGTAATAAAGCTATTTTTCCTCAAAGGGATTACTTCTGTTTGATCTGAAATGAAGTCCCAGCACCCAACAGGATCTTTTAGAGTTCTTTCACTAACTGGTGATGGAACAGAACATGGTTTCTGAGTTACAAATGATCCTGTTGTTATCCTGCTGGTTAAGCTATGACAAGCAAACTGGTATAGTCATTGGGTCAGACGCGTGCGAATAAGCCAGGCTAAGGTTCTTACACACTTATGTGGCTCTGTCATGATGTTTTATAAAATACATGGAGGCAAGAAAACAACACGTATTTGGGATGAGTTAAGCATGTTTTGGCAAGAAGAGCATTTTTGTGAGCTTTTGTATGAATATTAATCTCCCAGCCTCCCTTGAGTGCCAGCATAGTCCACATTGCTTTAGAACTTCAATTTGTAGCAGGTCTCCTGTTAGCGGAGTCTGGTTTGAGGCAAACATTGTTTAGCACAAGGGATCCTTTTTAGAAATATCCCACGTGTGTTCAAAAACGCTTTGCAATTTCCACCTGGGAATAAAATTCCAGATGAATTTGGTTTGTATAGATGGACAATGGATATTTATTTGGTTGGAGTCCCAGATGTAATCAAAATTATGGAAGAGCTTTCTTTCAAACTAAGAGCTTAGGTTGGTTGTGGAAGAGGAGCAAGTGGATTTTTAAAGTGATCGAGTGCATCTGTAGCATTCTTTGTTCTCTTCCCCACTTCTGTCCACCTCTTGCTCTGCATCTCAGGTCTCAAAGTACTTGTAAATCTGGGCGACGTACTGCATCACACTCTGCCAGTCTGGCCGGTCTGTGTACATCATCTCACTGAGTTCCTGCATAGGACAGACGCATGTCAAAACTTAGTCAAGCACCACTGCTGGCAACATCACTGGGTCCTCTGAGTAGCTGTGGCTATTGAACTCTACTTCTGCGTCCATTCCAGAGCTCCTTAAAGCCACAAATAGTATAAAAGTGCATGGGAATGATCTACTGGTCTCGTGCAAGTCAAACTCATTAATAAACAAGTTAGAGAGCCATATGTATTTTACATTCTGAAAAGATTTCTTCCATCTGCAAAGATCAATTCTCTATACAACTTCATTTAAATTGCTCCTTCTTTGCATGTCCATGGTTGTGTATTTAGCTCATGAACCCCTTTAATATTTTTCCTTCATATTCAGCCTCTCTCTTCATTGTCATCATATTGTTAATTTTAGAAAAGGCTTTTTAAACAGTTTAACAACAACTTACCCTTCTGTTTCTTAAAACATTAAATCAAAAGGAAAGAAAATGGTCTAGCAGGCAAGTCTGCCCAGGAAAACAGGAATCATCTGGAATCAGCTTCCAAGAGGAGGACATAACCAATACTCTCATTTCAATACTAGATGACCTCCACAAGTTCCTTCAAATTATACTAATTCTATGATTCTACAAATTCTTTCTAGAAGTTCTCCTAAAACTATGAACTTTCAGAGATGGTTGCGAAGCCTTTCCTAGCACTACGTGAACATTTTCAGTGCAAGATGACTGATCAACCAGATGGCAACAAAGGCTTTGGAATGGTGTATGCAGCAAATCTTCCCTTGCTAAAAGAAGGTTACTCACCAGGCTGGGTTTGATGCCTACACTTTCAGCAGCTTGAAATGCTAATAGCAGATTTCTCTTCTGTAATAACAAAACAAAAGTTCAAAAGGATTATCATCAAAATACAATTCCTGAACCCTACACTTTGCACCTGGTTAATCAGTAAGTTTAAATGAGCAGGGATATTTGAAAACCGAAAACCACTAGATTCAATACTTTCACATAGATGCTTTTTTGTATTAGCAAGGTATACTCACAAATAAGTTCTTTGTCTTTGAATCGCTCATCTACTTTTGCCCAAGCTACAGCCCTCTTTTTTGGCAAGTTCTTGTGAAACTGATTACAACTAGGTAAAAAACTCCACTGAGGTTCTGTCTTTATTATGAGTGAAAGTTTTCTGAAGAGATGTTAACTAATAT